AGTGGTGGTAGTACTAGTAGTAGTAGTAGAAGAAGAAGAGAACTAGCACTAGCACTAGTAGTAGCAGTAGTGGTGGTGGGAGTAGTAGTAGTAGTAGTCGTCGTCGTCGTCGTCGTGGTAGTGGTAGTGGCAGTGGTAGTAGTAGTTAGTAGCAGATAGTGGCAATTAGTATTAGTAGTCGTCGTCGTAGTAGTTGTAGTTGTAGTTGTAGTTGTAGTTGTAGTTGTAGTTGTAATAGTTGTGGTGTCAAAGCTGCTTGCAGCATAACGACTTTTTTTTTATCGTTTGTTGAATTCAGCCACGGAAGTGTTGACGCCGTTCATGGTCTTTGCCCGCGGGCTTTCAGGGGCCATCGCTGTGGCGTCAGATCACAGCCAAGCAGTGGGGTGCTCATGCCTGTCATATATGATGTATTTTACTCTGTAGCTCGTAGGACTGGTAGGGTGAGTAATGGGCATTGCTATTCTTGTCATTCAACTCCAGAAAGTGGAAGCAGCACGAAAACTGTGGCTGCTTCAGGCAGGCCAGTGGAACAGTACGGCGGATACTGCAACCGTCCCGCACTCAGAAAGGTCACAGGTTGTTGTGGGGGCCATCGGGATCTACCCAGGGCCTCCCCTCGAAAGTGAAAGCCGAAAGTTAAAGTCAGGTGCCTAAGCTGTGTAGGATCGCCAAAGCTTCGAGCCACTCGGAGTTCACCTTGAAGCCGCCACGGCCAATGCACCCGGGCGGTCAACCGAGCAAATTATGCGAAGCCTAGACCTTACTATGAACATTATCAGCCCGAATCCTGTCAAAGTGACACCCAGAAGCCGACACCGCGGCTTTCGTTGCACAGACTTCAAGTATCTTCATCGATACATCGCTTGGCCCAAGGCAGAACAGCGTAGCTGGTATTCTGTTGATGCTTGGCAATGTTCCGCCTCCGCTCTCAGCTCTCCAAATTCGGGACTGCATCGGTCGCCCGCCGATTCTCTACCGTGGGGAAGCCCATCGAATGCCTCGCTGGCGTGGCATGGAAGCCCGAGACAGACTTTTCCAAACCTGCACTGTCTCTGGAGAAGATCATCGTAGCCCCCCCAAAGGAGAATGAAGTGCGAATCCGTATTGATTATGCGACCCTATGCGGAACGGACTTGCAGGCGGCGGCGGGAAAGGACAACGAGGCTCACTTTCCTTTTGTTGCGGGACATGAGTCAGCGGGTACGGTGGAGTCAATTGGGCCCGGAGTCACCACGGTGAAACCTGGCGACAAAGTGATTCCATGTTACCAGGCCCAATGCTTTGCCGACGACTTGTCAAAGGATCATTGTCCTCGATGCCGAGGTTATCGCAAGGGCAAAACCAACCTTTGTGGCAAAGTCCGAGGTTTCACCGGTGCAGGTGTGATGCGTGCTGGGGGTGTGCGTTTCCAAGGACCGGATGGCCAACAAGAGCTCAATCACTTCATGGGTATCAGTTGCTTCTCTCAGTACACTGTGATCCACGAGGAAAGTGCTGGTAAGATTCGCGATGACTCGCCTTTGCCGAAGGCACCATTGCTTTCCTGTGCCCTCCCGACTGGATTTGGTGCCGTCATGAACGCAGCCAAAGTGGAAGCCGGGGCCAGTGTTGCTGTCTTCGGGCTCGGGACAGTGGGACTCGCAATCATTGAGGCATGCAGGCGCGTTGGTGCCACCAGGATCATCGCCATCGACACTAACCCTGAGAAATTCAAGCGTGCTCTGGCCTGGGGCGCCACCGATACTGTGAATCCCAAGGAACATGAGGATCCAATCCAAGACGTCATTATCAAAATGACAAGCGGCGGTGTGGATTATTCGTTCGAAGCGACCGGCTCAGTGGACGTCATGCGTGCAGCGCTAGAGTGTGCTCATATCGGATGGGGAAAGAGTGTAGTCGTGGGTGTTGCAGCAGGCGGAGCAGAAATCTCGACTCGTCCCTTCCAGCTGGTGACAGGACGCACTTGGACTGGCACTGCTTTTGGCGGTTTCCGCGGTCGCGAGGGTGTTGCACAACTTATGGAGGATTACTTTGATGGAAAATTTGACATTGACCCATATATCACGCACAACGTGCCGTTGCGAGACATCAACGAAGCCTTTCGCTTACTCCGCGCGGGAGAGAGTCTCCGCACAATCATTTGGATGCATGAAGATCCACCGCACATTGGTGCCGTTCCCGCATGAGTATTCTCAGAAACCGTTTGCTCACAGGCTAAGTTGCCTGTTTCTCATGCATTCGACATGAGGGAGGGGTGTCCTTTTCTTTTTTTTTCACATGAGTCCAGATCCTCTTTGTCGAGACGTGCTTCTCCCACCTGGTCGAAGCGGCGGGACACAACAGCTCTGCTTTACCGGTCTTGAAATAGATCATTCAGTTGCAGGCTACACGATACCATATCTGTATCTTGAAGTCAGCTGTTAGTCCCCTGAGTTTGCTGAAGCAGAGGTGTCACGCTCGATCTAGCCATGCGGGCGCCAAGAATACCCTAAACCCTGAACGTTTGCCGAGGTCGGAGGGCGGTCAAAGCTCCGTGGGATCCAAGAGTTCAGGAGGCCCAAGCGCTTAGCAGATCCAGACGCGGTTTAGGGTTTAGGGTTTAGGGGTGGAGAGGGACCGGAATGTACACCCTGGCTTGGGGATTCAGGGTCAGGGGCAGTCGGATCCTCACCATAAAGATTAAGTACCCCGATTTCCGGTGAGAAAAAAATCCCAACCTCATCCCCCCCTCTACCCCGCCTTGGGCCCATGCCCCTTTTCTCTCCGGTCAAAAAAAAGACGCCCCAGGACGGAAAAGGAGTCAAGTCTCGAAGTGCGACTTTGCATCACGGTGCAGGCAAATCGTTTTTTTTTCTTCCGGCCACCGCTTCTTCTTTCCCCATCCTTTTCCTTGTATTTTGCTTACGTCCAGGCCCAGACGGGCTAGCTTAGATCCTTCGCGAATCCGATGCCAAAGCACGGCAACTCGCAGGTTGTGTCTTGTACTTTGTTGCAAAGCTTAATCCCCGTACATTTCGCAAACACGTTAAAATCCGGTCATAACGTCTATGCGCTATGTCGTGAAGGGAATGTGCCACCTTTCGCGTGGGATTATTGCTCCGAGCCTCAGCATTAACACAAATACTCACATTAAACATATTCTGAAGCAACCGCAGTCATTCGACTCACGACCTCGCCTGTGTGACCTGCCTCCTGCTTTCCGAAACAATGCACCTACTTCAAGCACAGCCGGGCCGAGGCGGACGACGCGAAGCGTGTAAAATTACGAAGGCAGGTATATTGCTGATACCGATACTACTGACACCCATGAACTGTCGAGCAAGTTTCGGCTTTCGTCATGATCGATCCGAATGGCCATCGCCACTATCGGCATCACCGCTATCGTACTGAAACCAACACCCAAACCAGAACCATACTTCTTGAAAAACAATTGTAGCAAGAGCGGTACCATGTGCGGAAGCTCATAGACGAGACGGCACGCACACGATAAACACCAGACCATCGCGAAGTTGCATGTATCGGTGCTACTACTACGAAAGTAGGTAGCTTCCATACAGAGGCCGTGACTGACTACACGAATTGTGCACTACGTAATGCAAAGAGTCTACTAGAGGTGCCAGCAGCATTACGATGATCATTCATGTCTATCCCCATTGCCCGGTATCATTGCCATTGCCGTTCAGCTTCCATCACCATCAACATCATGATCACCCTCAGCATCTTCAGCATCTGCAGCGTCTGATCCAAAATTGGTAGCACCGACAGCTAACATGCTTAAGCACGGAACGGGCATGCACGCATGAGTGCAAAAGGGTATGTGCACGTGGGCAAAGAGAAATGGACATGCAGTGTAGTGTGGCACAGCGCTTCTAGGCATAACAGTATGAAACCAGATTGAATCATTGGCGGCATCCAAAAAACAACAAATTAGGACTAATACTACCGTAAATTTGCAATGACATCACCAGTCATGGGTGTGCCGAGAGCGGCAGACTGAACTCGCAGAAGCAGGGTGAATGAAACGACTTCTAACAGGTGGACGCTTCCCTGCCAGCATTTTCACATACAGCTACATCTTATGAACTGGGTAAGTTTGAGAATATGTCCGAAAGAGGTAGTAACAGATCCCGAATTCTGACAAACTCGGGTTTCGCCCTAGACCATCAACTTGAATCTGCACTATCACTGCAAAAGCGATTTCTCTGCCTGGACCGGATATAAGGAAGAAATATCTGCTACTCGCACGCCGCCGACATTGATTGACATGCTGCAGCCCTAGATCCTAAACCTCGTCCTAGCTAGGTGGGAAGCCAAAAACCCTAAACCCGAAGCTTTAAAACCCTACCCTAAGCCCTTCAATTAGGTGCATAAATCTGAAAGTCCTCCTATGCCAACTTCGCCTGTGAGCTTTGTTCTCTGCCATGCGAGAGGGAAAAATATACGACAGCAAAAACGAAACACTGGCTCCCAAAACCAGGAGCTCAGCGGGTCCTCGCCGACCTGGACGGTGACTCGGATGCCTCCAGCGTGGTTAGCGCTGGATCCTCAGCAGCCATGTACATATTATATATATATATATATATTCATTTATTTATTTATTTATACATACAATAGTGCAAAACAAAGCCGCTTTTGGCCCAAAGATTCTGTTCTTTCTGAAGGGGTTTAAACTTGAGCGTTCAGCGCCCCAGGGCGCAGGAGTTTACGAGTCATCAATCGTCTTGCGGTTGCCATGGGTTCTTTCGGTTTGAGGCGACGTCGCATAGTCTGGCAGTGCAGGACCTTCGCTTCATTGGCTTTTGAGGTTTTGGCCAGAGCCCTCCCAAAAAAGCAGGTGCTTCGAAGTAGGCAAGTAATCGCTTCCCACTATTATTAA